ATCCAAACTTTCAACTTCGAAACAACACGGACCAAGCTGATTGACAGTCATATTACAGGCACCGTATTGATCACATACCTCATTCTGGAGTCATGAATTTCAAGTAAGGATCAATAGAAAAGGCTTCAAAAAAGCATGTGATTGGAGTCACTGACCGACCTCCTCCAAAAACCCAGAATATCATTAAGAATCGTCCAGTCTGCAACACACTGTAATGTAGCTTACGAGAGAACATCCCCGATCCTTCCTCCTCTTGTACTCAAACTAGGCATTATTCGCAGCGGTGATCAAAAAGAAGACCTCTCGTGCGTCTGTTGCCATGACTTTGTTTTATGAGTTCCAAGTCTCTTTCTCTGACTACTGCCTCGATTTAGATTGGGGCTTCCAGGCATCTATGTCTGCGCGGTCTATTGCCTTGACAAGGATGGTCTAGAACGGTTGGACAGTGATGACATTGAAGCAGAAGACCTCTTTCTTGCCGGAGATACTGTACGATCAATGACGTACATTGATGGAGAAAGTGCTGATGAGAACATGCCAGAGGTATGTCCAGCAACACCACTCCATTCGTTTTGCTTTCCAATTCTCTCCGTGGTTTAAAACTTTAACACATAGGGCCTTTACTTCATTTTTCACGACTTGCTTCTCATGAAGGAAGGAGAATGTATTTTTGAGCTCGAATTGTGGGAATTAGATCATGATTCGTATGAACCACAATGTTGTTTGGTATATCAACATCAGAAAATCTTAACATCTTACGACAAAGGCACCATCACAAAAGGAATCGTCACAAAGGAAGATTGATTACATCTCTCCAATGTCCCGACGTTTTTACAGTCTTGTCACAAAAGGAAGCCACTCATTACGAAAGAACGGCCATCGATTTATCCTTGATTCGAATGGGTCTCTTGCCATATGTTCCTTCAGTCGACGAGAAGAAAGGGTAGATAGCAACGAAAAAAAACCAATAGCTCTGTATCCTAGTTTAGTTTTGGTTGTTAATTTTTTCCATTCACATATGTTATATAACATACACTTGCCTTTCAATACAAATTGATGATGACCGTCCCACATTTTCGGATCAGGAGCGTTCGGTTGGCAGACACCAGATCTCTCTTGGGTTTGACATTTTTGTTTCACGGTTGTTTGATACTTGATCCGTCCGTAATTTTGCTGACACTTGAGGTTCCATTTAGAAATTGTTTGCCAGGCACCTACGTATGTGTGATCTATTGTCTTGACAAGGATGGTAAAGTGCGATTGGATGACGGTGATGACGAAACACCAGGTTGGGAACAGTTTCTTGCTGGAGATACTGTTCGCTCAATGACGTGTGTTGATGGAGACCAGGCTGACGAACATGTGCCAGAGGTAAGACCATAGATCAACAATTGTCACTGGGTTGGAATCATTGTCTGAACTTGACAACCTCCGCCCAACGACAGGGACTGTATTTCATATTTTCTGCATTGAGGCTGCTCAGGGAAGGAGCATACAAGTTTCAACTAGAGTTATGGGAGTTGGATCATTATGCGTGAGTAGGAGACTCGACTCTTTGTCAAACGACACAATGTCTCAACACCGTTTACGAAAGGGATCGTAACGACAAGACACATCACGAAGAAAGATTGATTGAAACTCTCCAATGTGTCTCGGTGTTTACAGTTTTGTCACAAAAGGAAGTCATTCGTTACAAAAGTACAGCCATTGATTTGTCGTTGATTCGAATGGGTCTCTTGCTAGTTGACCCGCTTCAAAAAGAAGCATAGCGGGGCTCCATAAGAAAAGACCATAACGACCTGAAGTCCAAGCAGCAAAAACAGCCATAGTATGTGTGAGACGCTTTCAAGCTTAATCTCCTCCATTAAAAATTCAACTATAATGGACTGTATCAATGTAAAATAAAATTGCAAACAATGATGAAATTACCCTGCTCTTCTTGTGCAGCCTGCTCACTTCACCTGAATTGTCAGACGTAATCTCCCTACTTTTTTCCTCTATTATCTGTCACCATCAAGATATTCAACTCCAACACACATCTTGGTAAGACGAATGGCCTTCAATTGTGCTTCTATTGATGGTGAGTGAATATTGCGGCAAACGAATTGATGAAACAGAATACAACAAAAATAGACGGGCAAGTCCTCGAGCCACGTAAATGGTCTAAAAATCACGTGAATATTATTATAATATTATGATGTGTTCTTTTGGTGAATCAACGAAGACCATTCCTCTTCTTGACTCAGTTTGTGACTCACCCTTACAAACCCAATTTCCATCACTCTGCAAGACAGTAGTATTAAAAGACTTTCATTAATCAAATAAGGCATTCTCGAAGCATGCATTTCAAGTAAGATAACTTCCCCAGAACCTTCCAAACTTCCGTGTTCTTGTGTTTTTGCAGTAACAACATCTGCTCGTTCGAATTATAGCTTATCATTACGAATAATCCAAGCTCCGATATATTGCAACCTCTCAAAAGATGAAAGGAGTTCGTTGTGGCCTCCACTTCTTATCAGACTATGCATTCAGAACAAGGATCACAAAGAAGATCTATCGTGCGGCACTTTCATTTACTTGCTTCCTTGTAAATGGCGTTCTGATTCATTTTTATTGTGTTGACTTCACTTAGATTGGGAATTCCTGGCGTTTATGTGTGCGTCGCATACTGTCTTGACAAGGATGGTAAAGGACGCTTAGATGATGACGATGGTAGTGTAGCACTAAAACGACATGAATTTCTTGCTGGAGATACAGTTCGATCAGTGACTTATGTTGATGAAGAAGCTGCTGACGAGAATGTCTCAGAGGTAAGATCAACATATTCCTTGTCATGTCCCTGTCCAAACTCCTTTCTTTGACCAATCAGGGATTATACTTTCTATTCCACGACTTGCGTATGATGAAAGAAGGACAGTACAAGTTGGAGCTCGAGTTGTGGGAATTAGATCATGATGGGTATTGCTTGTTTCGTTGTGTTTGTGTCATTCCGAATCAAAAACAAGGACTGAAATGACCAAGCCCACCAACATCCAACCAAAAGGAGTCGTCATGAGAAGAATCGTCACAAAGGAAGGTTGATCACAGCTCTCCAATGTCCTGTTTTGACGGTCTTGTCACAAAGGGAAGCCGCCCATTACAAACGCACTGCCATTGATGCATCGTTGATTCGAATGGGTCTGTTGCCATATGTTACGCCAGTAGAAGACAAAGAAGAATAAAGTCGGTGAGGCAGCTTTGAATTGGGTTGGTTGTTTCAAAAAACGCTAAGGATTAAAAAACGTTTAGGGTTTCTGTAATCTTTGTACTCTGATGATTCAATGCATAACACACCTGCATACAATACATTCAAATACATAATGAATATCGCTCTACATGAGCCAGCTTGGTCACATTGACATAAACATCATTGAGACAAAAACAATTTCAAGCGTCCATTACGTGGAGACAGTCAAGCGGGTTCAACTACACCTTGCTATGCTTTCATTACCTAGCAGCCGAATAAAAAAGATGGACATTTGGGGTAAACTTTCCTAAGTGTGCTTCTGGTGGTGTGTAGTTAATATTGCGGCAAGAAACAACTGTGTCAAAACAAGAGCTAGTCTCACTATCAAAGGAAGACAACACGTAAACCATGATTCGAAAAGCAATGGATGAAACATTTGAAAGTAACTCCTCGCCCTTTCTTCGAATCAAAGAGTCAACTCTCGGATTTTTAACTCGATGTGACTCAACCTTATCTAGGCTCTTCAACAGCTCCCAAAACCTGCAAACTGAGTGATCGACGTAAAAAAGACCATCCATAATCACCTGAGGCATTCGGAAAGCATGCTCCTCAAGTAAGAAGCAACTACACCCACGTTTCAAAACGCCTTCGCTGTTTCGGTGCACCGCATCTAACACCCCACCAAACAGCTTCTCCTTACAAATCTTGCAGGGTGCAAAATGCTGCTACGTATCGAGTGAAACAAAGACATGTTCATTGTATCCTCCTCTTGTCGTAAAACTGGGAATTCGTCGCGACGATGATCCAGACGAAGATCTGTCGTGAGTCACGTCATGAACTTTTGGCCAACTTCCTGAGTGCGAAGGGCAATTCTTCTCATAATATTTACTTTTCAATAGATCCGGGCTTCCAGGTGTCTACATATGCATAGTCTATTGTCTGGACAAGGAGGGCACACTACGATTGGATGATGATGGCAGTGAAGCGCGACAAGAAGGCATCTTTCTTGCCGGAGATACAGTTCGATCCGTCACGTATGTTGATGGAGAAACTGCGGATGAGAATGTGCCAGAGGTAACTTGCACATGTTACCAAGCATGGTTTCAACAAAGAAGTGCCAAGACCAAACATCACCCTCTCCTTAACAGGGCTTGTATTTCATATTCAACGAATTGCATCTGATGAAGGAAGGACAGTACAAGTTGGAGCTCGAGTTATGGCAGCTGGATCATGATGTGTAAGTTTACAATTTTGTGATTCTTGTCCAAACCCTCGAGACCAACCAACCTCATTTCACGAAGACAGGGGCCGCCACGAAAGGCATCGTCACAAAGGAAAGATACTTGCAACTGTACAATGTCCTGAAGCCTTGAGGGTCTTGTCACAACACGAAGCCACCGATTACCAAAGAACAGCCATTGATGCATCGTTGATTCGGATGGGTCTCTCGGCCTACATTGCTTCAGAAGAGTAGGTAAGCCACTTTCACACAGAGATCTTGATTGGAACTGTGCACTAAACAATTAATCTAGTTAGCATTGGTGCAAGCATTTCTATAATCTCACAACATTCTCAATCCATGTGTAAGATATGTACCTCAAATAAAAATCCAATAACGATAAAAAACGTGTCTATTCCTTCGTCTAAGCGACCGATATCGCCAACGCCTCCAAATGTGCTATCCAACATCCAACTTTTTTTTTTAGACTCGTGTAAATTTCAACTCAGCGAAAGAAAAGAAATCAAGCTCAGAAATCACGTAGTGTAATAGAAAATGTTAAGAAGCAGATTCATAGCAAGCAGAGGCTTACAGGCCCTCAAGCAGACTCCCATCCTCGGCACTCGATCGATTGCATCGCTGCCGAACTTGACCAAAACATCTCTGAAGTCAAATCCACTAGCAACAGGCCATATAAACCACCCGACTTTCCCGGCATTCGCATGTAATCCATCCGCATCATTGAATTATGGTGTCTCTGGTTGTCAATCTAGTCCCCTGTCAACACAAACTGCAACATTGGCTACTTCAACGACTGAATCTTCCACCGGTGCGTCAGGTGCTGAATCCAGTGCGGATTCCATGTCGGATGAAGCTAGTGATGATCGTAATCATCGGTCGCCTGATGGGGAAAAGGGGGGTACTGCTGGTGCTCCAGCTGCAAGGAAATTTTCAGACATAACAGCATTGACGCCAACAACTCTGGAAGCTCTGAATCGCCACTTTAAATATAGTCAGATGACGCTGGTACAGGATCGTGTACTGTCCATGATACCGACTGAACAAGATCTACTAGTCAGAGCAAAGACTGGAACTGGAAAGACATTGGCCTTCCTCATCGCTGCTTTGGAATCACTGCAGCAGCATCCAGATCCGGAATTTAGGAAGAATTTACAGGCTGGTCGTGGTATATCGTGTATAGTATTATCGCCTACGAGAGAACTGGCTCTACAGATTGGTAGAGAGGCTGAAAAGTTGCTCAAGACGACTAGGTTTCGAGTTCATACTATGGTTGGAGGAAACAAAAAGTCGGAGCAGCTGCGAGAGTTTGATAGAACTCGAGCAGACTTTGTAGTAGGTACTCCCGGTCGTTTATTGGACTTGTTGACTTCTGAACGTTCATTCAAGAATGCTGCGCAGTATATGAAGATTGTAAGTGCCATGTGTTTGGTCATGTCCTCAACGATAGTTTTTCTGACTCAGACGTTCGTTGAACGCTTAGCTCATTCTGGATGAAGCAGACACGCTACTGGAAATGGGTTTCGCAGAGGAAATCAAAGACATCTTACGAAACTTGCCTAAAGAACGACAATCCCTCTTGTTCTCAGCCACACTGAGTCCAGCAATCCGTGGAATAGCTCGTGAAGTTTTGAAACCAGATGGTAAATTTGTAGATACCGTATCAGCCGACGACATTGCCACACACCTAAAAATCAAACAATCAGCATTGGTTGCTCCCTACTCGCTCCATCTCACAACCCTATATCACACAATCATAAAACAGCAAGCAATCAATCCCAATGCTAAAATCATGGTATTCTGCTCATCCACGAAATTCACTGAATACATGACATCTGTATTCAGAGTCCTCCTCAATCATCATACGGACGTCCTCGAACTACATTCCAAACTAACCATGAACGCACGTACCCGAATCGCTGCTCGATTCCGTAACTCGTCAGCTGCTTCCATACTCTTCACATCCGATGTATCTGCTCGTGGTGTTGACTATCCTGGAGTAACACTGGTAGTGCAGATGGGACAACCTAGTACTTTAGATCAGTACATTCATCGTATTGGACGTACTGCTCGAGCTGGAAAGGACGGTGAAGCTGTCATGATATTGAGTCCTTACGAACGTGGATTTATCCGCGATTTGCATGATTTGCCTGTTGAAGTTGTTGATGTGAAGGCTGCAGACTTGGCTGAACATGATCATATTCAGGGTAAACTAGGATTGTTCTTTGAACGATTGTCGAGTGATACTATAGCTGATTGTTACAGGTCTTACTTGTCATACTGTAAGTTATGTGATTCGAGCAAAACAAACCTCGTATTGTATCATCTGCACAATCGTGTCTCTAACGATTTTTCCAATTATAGATCGACCATTATTCAAAAGTATTGGTCTAGAAACACTAGTCAGAGCATCTCAAGAGTTTGGACGAGGAGTATTAGGAGCAAAGAGCGATTCCGATCTAGCTCTGGATTCAAGCATGGTGACCAAGCTAGGATTGACTCGAGTTAGAGGCCTTGTCATCCGTGAAACACCTAGAAGACGAAACGACTACGACTCTGAATCACGAGGATATGGAGATCGAGACTTTGGATCAGACCGTAATGATAATAGTCGTTTCGGCGGTAGCGGTAGCTCTAGATCTGGATTACTTGAACGTGGTAGGAATAGTGGATTTGATAATAGTGGTGGATTTAATAGGGGAGGACGGATGCAAGAATTGTTAAAGGATACTGAACTCTCTTCCAGTGCATCAAATCCACGAGGTGCTGGTGCTCCACCTAGTAGTGTAGACAAGGATGTTGCGTTTTTGGGTAACTTGGCTGATGTATTGGACGAAGAACGAATACAACCACGTTACAACTCAGGTAAACCCAACAAGTATGGTGGAGGTGAGGGCTTCAATCGATCCGGTTCTAGTCGTAGCAGTAGTGGTAGTCGAGGTAGTGGTGGTAGTAGGAGCTGGGAATCTAGAGGCAGACGACCAAGTGATTCTGGATTGTCATCGTGGAATGGAGACTCGTCTCGCAAAAAGTACAAGATGTAATATATTTGATTTTAGCATATTTGGTAGAACAATAGATTTAAAAACCCACGTCCTATGATTCTGGGCTCGACTTTGTTTGAGATGTTGTCAGTGTCTATGGGCACAATTGGACATGGCGAGTACATCCGCCACCTTTTTTTTCTTCGCCCAACAGCCTTTTGAGGCATTTTTGAGGGAGAAGATCAAACCCAAGGACTCCAATTCAAACGCTTAGAAAGTTGAACATGATTAGTAACCAAAAGAAAATCAATATTATTAAGGCAACGAATATTGTTTTTTACACAAGGGAGTAGGAACAGGATTTCAATCAGTAGACAATCATACTTTGTTGTCGGCTGGCACTGCAGGATATGGTGCGTCTAACGAGACCAAATTGTGGAGGTTAGAGGTGAGATCACAAAGCGACAAGAAACAACACGAGATCACTCTTACATTGCTGTTGCTGGTTCTGAGTTGCGGGATATCCAGGCTGGTACACAAACGGTGCGTTCTGTGGTGGTGGGTATGTTGTAGTCGTCGTGGTGGTCGTGTTCCTATAATTGAAAGATGATATTGACATAACAAAACTCAAAACTGTGAGAATGTCGACACTTACGTGTATGGATCATAGACGCTGGTGCCTGGGACGTAAATCGGTGGTGCTCCGTAAGCACCTGGCTGTCCATAAGCTCCACCAGCGGGCTGTTGGACGAGCAGCTATAATGAGCAGCGTGTGAGGAATTTCGTTTTGTGCCAAGGCTGGTGTTTTTGGTGACAGGTCATCATACCTGTTGTTGTTGTTTGCGACGGCGATAACAAAACCAGATTCTAAAGACATATGTGTGTATTGTTAGGAATTGAAATCGAAATTGTAGCCCAAAAACGCTAGTTGGCCTCAACTAGGGGCTTGCAAAAAACCGGAGAAAGTGGCAGCTTTGCTTACAGCATGATTATTGCCAATATGAGGAATAGACCAGCGAAACCGCCACCTAATGACATGAAATCGTTCAAGTTAGTAGATGCTTGGCATCATAGTAGTGGGGGAAACAACGAGACAACAGACCAAAGCTTTCAATGTGCGAAGAAGGTTCTAATCAGGTCAAGCTGACACTCACCGTAGTAGCCGCCTATCCCTCCGTAATAGCCATAGTAAGCCTCGGCAGGCTGGACGTTGAAGAGCGACACAGCGAGCACTAGGACGATCGAAGACAGCATCTAGTGATTTGCGACCTTGTTTTGTGCGGTTGAAATGGAAGAGTTACGGCTGATAGCTACTAGTTCAAGGACTTGCTATAGTGGTATGTGCTTTATGCAATAGTCCGTATCGTGTTGTAAACCAAAGTGTTGGGAAGATTCAGCTGTACAGCCACTTTTATTATTAGTTACACGGTGACCAACAGAAGTCTTATTTAGAAAGGCAATTAGAATCGAGGAAACAATTTCATATGGGTTTTCACCGACGCGAGAAGCAAGGATCAGACCTTGCTGTATGCTGGGACAGCTGGATAATGTTCGTCTAAAATATAGAGGTTTGAAGTGAGATCAAAAAGAAAACCGGGTACAAGCAATAATTGTCACGCCTACATTCTTGTTGAGTGGTGTTGTTGCTTTGTGTTGCGGGATACCCGGCCGGTGGTGCGCCTTGTGGAGGAGGATATGAGGGTGCGCCTTGTGGAGGAGGATATGAGGTATTCGAGACTCTAATGTCGTCAAGGAGGATGGTAGGCATAATCAGATCTCAAAAACGGTGAGCAGCGTTTGGCCAACACTTACGAGTATGCGTTTGAAGGGGGCTGGTATATTGGTGGTTGACCATATGCCCCCGGTTGTCCCCATGGCCCTGTTGGTTGCGATTGGAAATTCATCTAGGATGATTGCAGGTGAGTGGCGTTCGCCTTGGTGTTTTGTGACAAGAGGGTCATAAAGTTGTGGCCATTGCGCTTATATATACCTGTTGTTGTTGGAGCTGTTTACGACGACGGATGCAACATATGATCCTATAGGAGCAAGGCAGTCCGGTATTAGGCAAATTTGACATCAAACGAAAAGGTTGATTGCAACAACATGGTTGCCGAAGAACCAGAGAAAGCGCTCACATTATGACTGTCAGAATGAAGATTAAAAACAAGCCGCCGAATCCACCGCCTAATGCAAATGAAATATGCGACAAGTCAGTAGGATTTTTGCAAGACGACAAGCATAGGGACGGAGCAACAAACAACATTGACAATGCTCCGCAAATGTGCCCAAGCTTTTGGCGAAAGATGCACTAAAGACGAGAAGACAACGCCTTACCGTAGTAGCCTCCGTAAGCGTATTGGGCTTCCGCTGGCCGCACATTGAAGAGCGATACTGTGAGCACCAGCACGGCTTGAGACAAAACTCTTGCGATTTGGGACATTATGGGACTCTTGTGCGGTTGAAATGAAGATCTTATGGTTGAATACTACTTGATTTACTTGATTTCGGGTGCTTATACGGTATGCGAATGTGTTAGATATGCTTTTGAAATTAGTCCGTATAGTGCTTCTAGGTTTCGAAGAAATACGCATCGTGAAAACAAATTGGAAACCAAAAAGTACAAACGTCCAGAGATTTTTGACGTGACTTACTTCATTGAATAGTTGTAGTTGTTACGTCCCATTCTTTCGCAGGAGTTCCTACTAAGCGAGAAGCACATGCACGTTTTTGGTCCCTGCCTGACCAGCCCGTTTTAGCGGAGCGTTCTTCCGGCGGATATAACGCTTACCTTGTATAGATCTGGACTCTCTCGCACAATTAGAGATTGGTGAGGCAATTCGTGTCGCCTTTTCTTTTGCCTCATCACACTAGTCGCAATTTTCTGAATTCGCACTTGGAAGCTATCAAAGGGGCACCTATGATGACTGGTGCAATCACACTAACTGAAACCAACAGTCTGAATCGTTTCACCCCATACAAGATTGAAAAGAGGGCTACAAAGGACAAGAACTCCATGGTTGTCCACTCGAAAAAGTTTCTGCTTACTACCCCCAACACGGCAAAGATACCCAACCTGGCGACACTATCTAGTACAGATGAGGTATGTTTATACGTGCCATCGTCTTCTTTTTTGTGATCTGTCCCTGCAACATCGTACACTCATACATTTTGCTTCAGTTTTTCCACAGCATTGAAAAGACTTTGAAGGAGTTTAGGCAGGAATCAAAGGGTATATCCTTTGAAAACCAAGATCTGATTCGAGTTGGGCATAGTGTACATAGAATTGACGATGATCGGGCTGAACTAGATGTTGCTGGTATGCAAGCTCAAATTACAAATCCAACAAAAACCACGAGAAAAGTGTGGTCGACATTTTGGACCTAATGCTAACTGTTTCCTACCATTCTAGTCAACTTGTATGTACCAGCTATAACGACACATCTAGTCGTGCGGGAAGCCTTCCAGTGTGTCACAGATCACTTGTCCTTGACCGAGATCGACAAGTTCGTTATAAGTTGGGCACCGTTGAACTCTGACTCGGACGCATCTGTGATACATCGATTCTTGCCGATATGGAGAGATATGGAGGCTATAGCGAGATCGTTCCCACTCACTCGGTTGGGGATTTCTGGTATCACAATGCTGAATCTGCAACAGCTGTTACAAGTCTCTGAGGTATTCCATAGACGGAGGACACTGGGAACTGTCGCGGAACGCATGTAACGAAGATGCTGACACTCGTTGTACATAGATCAAACCATCAATCTGGCACGTATCAACGATTCCACGCGCAGACCAACTAGAGTTTGCAAAATCACATAGTATCGATATATATCTTCAACGTGATTCGTCTGGTAAGATTTTATGTGTCATGGTGCAACTACATGTGAGCATGGACGTTCTGACCTTAAGCTCTTTCTTCCAAAGCCGTCTTAAACCAAAAACTCTTTCAAAACTTAATATCTACATATCTACCGTCGCTCAGCTCTCATGCAGTGGAGCCTTCTTGGATTCTGTGCCATTCTACATTCTCAAAAACTCGAGCCACGTTGCTGAATCGAGGGTGAGGTCTTGGACATACTTTTTTGCATTCTTTGCAGCTGGGAGCTGACAGATGATTTGTTTGGTGAATAGGTACATTGTCATGGGGGCTTGGGACTGATTCCTCTCTTCCTAAGAAAAAATATATTTGATTAGTGTGTTATGTGCGGAAGTCATGTCTTAAAACCCGTTATATTTGTAACTTACATTACTTTAAGTATATTGAGTTCATAGCCTGTCTATTACAAAGAAACGCGTGCGTATTTTGGGTTTTAGGTTGGGGTTTAGTGCAGCAACGTGTTTGTGACTCCTGCCGTCGAGAGGCCGTCGAACCTTTCAAGAAAAACATCATTTCAAGCGGTTTTGGGGGAGAGCTCGAGGAGAATGCTGGGAGGCAATTATGACCTGTTTGGAGGTACCCCACTGCCGAATTGCCCCTTCTACAATACAACTATTGGATCGTCATCAGAAAACGAAACTGGAGATTTGAATTCTCTGAATTCAGATCCCCTGCTGTATTATCCTACTGTATCATTGACATATCTGAGTAGTGCCATACTTCTGATTACATTTGCTCTTGTAATTGCTATTACGTGTGAAGGAGCTATTGTGTTTAATCGACGAGTGAGATCAAAAAGTGTCAACAATGGGTGGTGGAGCTTGTTCTTTCTCATACTGGCTAGCAGGTACGCATTCCGATCATTGTGTTTTCGATGATTCGGCTTCTTCTAGTTTGAAATCGCTCGTTTTGAAACCCCAAGTCAAACCAAACCTTGACGCTGTTATACTTAGCTGTGCAATCGACGGTATACGCTACTCTACCGGCCTGCCAATGATATCAACGTCACTTGTATCATCACTCGACAACGTCTCTGTACCAGAAACAGTCGATCGGGGAGCCATGGACGCATGGCTACTCTCAGTATCTGCTGCACTACGCAGTCTGAGTAGCCTAGTACTCTCATTTGCTCTTCACCATCAGCTAAAATACAGATCATCGTGGGCTGTGAAAGATGCGA